TACCGTTTTCAGTCATTTTAAGTCTTTATTTTTTATTAAGAAAAAATTCAACCAAATTATTTTAGTTTGAGTTAATTTGAACACTTTCAGGTTTTGTTTTATTTTTACCATTCAGGGGCTTTTTGGTCACAAAAATATATTTGTTACACTACACTTTATTCCTATTGGTTGTTAACAGAAGTTATGGATCGATACTGAATTTACCAAACGAAATTGAATAATGGACGGATATGATTGCAAGCTGAAATCATTTTTTCCTCTTCATCTGACTATTTAAATAGTCTTCATTTTCTTTGTGAAGGACAACAAAAAAAAAACAAAAAAAACAAAAAACATACAAAAAAAGCATTAATAGTAAATATTTCCCTTTTCTCTCAACTCTCCCCACTCTACCTTTCACTCTCTCTTGCTAGCACACGCCATCCCCCTTCTTCAACCTCTATCCATCGTTCAACCTTCATACTCCCTTCCATCCTAATTTTCCGCAAACTACATCTCCTTCCACTTCTTCAAATTACCAACTATCTTCCACCGATCCACCCCTCCGCCTATTTCTTCAACCCGGTTCCACCTTCACCTCCTCTGTTCAATCCCGCCGTACCAATTCCGCACAACATACTCCCTAAACCTCCTAATCAACAACACAAAAATCTTAAACCAAAACCCAAACTCAACTGCGAAGCTTCAATGGGGAAGGCAAAAGCAAAAGGTAAGCATCGTTTGGACAAGTGGTACCACTTAGCCAAAGAATCCGGTTACAGATCCAGAGCAGCATTCAAACTCCTTCAAATCGATGGAAAATTCGGTTTCCTCAGTTCCGCACGCGCCGCCCTCGATCTCTGCGCCGCTCCCGGAGGTTGGATGCCGGTGGCGGTCAAACATGTTCCCCACGACAACCTTGTCATCGGAGTTGATCTTGCCCCCATCGCTCCCATGATGTTAGCCACCTCTATTCAGGAGGATATCACGAGACCTGAGTGCAAGTCACAGATTAAGAAAATAATGAACCAAAATGGGTGTAGTGCTTTTGATGTTATTCTTCATGATGGTTCCCCGAATGTCGGTGGTGCTTGGGCTCAAGAAGCTACGAGTCAGAATGCTCTTGTTATTGACTCTGTTAAGCTGGCTACACAGTTTTTAGCACCTAAGGGCACTTTTGTCACCAAGGTTTTCAGGTCGCAGGATTACAGTGTCGTTGTGTATTGTTCGAAGCAGTTGTTTGAGAAGATTGAGGTGGATAAACCGATTGCGAGTAGATCTGAATCTGCTAAGATTGATCCCCGCCTTCTTGATTACAAGCATCTTTTTCAGGCATCTGCTCAGCCGCAAGCTAAGGTGGTGGATGTACTTAGAGACAATAAGCAAAAGAGGCAGGGGAGGACTCTTTATGGATTTGGGGGTTAGTGAATTATTAATGCATGAATTAGTAATTGGTCATTTGAAATGGTTTGTTGAATTAATCTCCGTTTGTTGAATCCCATCAGTAAAGTATAAGTTTTTTTGGCTATATAATTATATTTGTTGTTCAAAAATAAAAAAAAATAAAAATATTAGTAAATCTTATAATTAATTTAGTTTAATATTAATTTAGAATTCTTTAATTAGTTTAGATTTATTTTATAACTTTAGAATTTTATTTCATTTAGTAAATTTTAGAATTTTATTTGTTTTAGTTTAGTTTAATAACTTTAGAATTTTATTTGATTTTATTTAAGTTAACTTTAGAATTTTATTTGTTTAGTTTTAGTTCAATAACTTTAGAATTTTATTTGATTTTATTTAGTTAATTTTAGAATTTTATTTGTTTAGTTTTAGTTTAGTGACTTTAGAATTTTTATTTGATTTAGAATTAGTTTAATAAGTTTATAATTTTTATTTAGTTTAATAACTTTAGAGTTTTTTTATTTGATTTAAATTTAGTTTAGTAGTTTTAGAATTTTATTTGATTTAGATTTAGTTTAGTAACTTTGGAATTTTCATTTGTTTTAGATTTAATTTAGTGACCTTAGGATTTTAATTTAATCTAGATTTAACTTACTAAATTTTAAAACTTTAGTTTAGTTTAGATCAAATTCAATAATACTAGATTTTTTTTTATATCCTTAGAATTTGTAATTAGTTTAGAATTATTTTAGTAAGTAATTTTTTAATTTAGTTCGATTAACTTCTTTAGATAATTAGTTATATTCCTTTTTATTTGTATATTTCTGTCATTTCAATTTCTCGGTGCCTCTTGATCATTAATTTGTTTTTGTGAGATTTATTTTCTTGTGAACTTCTGAATATTTATATTTTGATGTTCATTTTATTTTGCTTACTCCAAGGAAAAGATTTAAATTTGTTGACTTCACGTCATCAAATACATCTCATCCGATCGTGCGAATACCTTTCTTTTTCATTTTTTGTTTGTTTACTATTTTGCTAAACTCCAGATAATTTTCCCAAAAGACTCCATTTTCAAACTCACACCTTTTAAGTCAAAACTTCGACATTAGGTCGTCGTATCTTCAAAAATCTTGTCCATACCCATCTTTTAGCCAAACGAATCATTTTTAATCAAACAAACAATTTTAACCAAAAAACAGATATTTCAAAAGGTTCATGCGGAGTACCGCAGATGCATTGGATGCTAATACCTTCTCATTGTATAACCAACCCTCGAACTCTCGATCTCTTTTAAAAACGCATTGTATTTTCATTATTTTTAAATATTACTTTACATTGCATATTTTAGGGTTTTATTTCGCTCTTTTCCCTTTTCCCTTGGAAATAATAAAGCGCGGTGACGACTCTTGCTTTTGCGAGTCAAGTTAATTAATAGCTTGATCTCCGATTTTCACCGCTACAACTGCAAAGTAACCAACTAAACTAACTAACTGTTAACTAACTGCTAAGTAACAAACTTAACAAAATTATTTGCAAAGTAACTAACTAGACTAACTAACTGTTAAGTAACAAACTTAACAGAATTATTTGCATCAAGTAATAACTGATCAAAATATTTAATAATAACAGAAACATTAATTTACTAATTTAAATATTGAATATTAACGAGAACATGCATTATTGATGAAACTATTGAATATTAACGGAAACATAAAGTTACTAATCAAAATATTGAATATTAATGAGAGCATGAAATTACTGATTAAATATTGAATATTAACGAGAACATAAGGTTACTGATTAAAATATTAAATATTAACGAGAACATAAAATTATTGATCAAACTATTTAATATTAACATGAACATGAAATTACTAATTAAAATATTGAATATTAACGAGAACATGAAATAATTGATCAAACTATTGAATATTAACGAAAATATAAAGTTACTGATCAAAATATTGAATAATAATAGAACAATTTTATTATTGATTTAATATTTCCAACAATAATTCCAAAACAAAAATAATATTTATATATACTAACCAAACCTATTCACAATTTACTTCATTCAAAGAACAAATAATTAAAAGTAATACATGCATACATTAATATACTCAATAAACTATTACAACTTAAGTTTATAATTTTGACCCACAATACAAACCAACATACTAAAACAGTATATTAGAATAAAATATTTATAATTTTCTTTAAAGTCAAATATCTATTTAATGTGATACAACTATTTGTATTTTTATATTTTTATTTTTATTTTATCAATTTTTTTAATATATAAATAAATTACTATAAAAGAAACCATTTTTTCATTTTATTTAAAATCAAAAAATAAATTATAACTATTTGTATTTATATTTAACTATGAATAATTTTAAAATTGAATAAAATAAGAAGACCACGACGGGTACCCGTGCAAGGGCACGAGTATTACACTAGTTAGACTACTTGCAATGAGGGTGTTGAATAAATTTTTCAACAGATGAATTGCTTCAATGAATTGTTGAATAAGGTCTTAAATGTGACATGAATTAATTTGTGTTGAAAACATCGAACATGTTGAATGAGAAATGAGTGAGGACCACTTATAATATTTTGCAAAATATAATTAGTTGTTGTGATTGTTTATATTTTTATCTCACCTAAATTATCTAGAGTCAATTATTTTATAGAAAATCAATTATTTATTTATTTTTATTTTCACCAAAATTCATCATTTTTTTGTCTACAAATAGAGCATTGGTTCATTTGATTTGGACAAAGAAAAAAAATCTATTTTTTCTCTTTAATTTTTCTATTTAGCCTCCAATAAATTTTTGTTTGTAGCTCTAAACATTTTTTTAGTTAAATGAATCCCTACAATAACCCTCTTAACACTCAAAATTCTACTAATTATTCTTTCAACTATCCAAATCCCAATTAAAATTAAAATAAAATTTTAAATTAAAAAAAATTATTTAACTCATAATTATTTTAATTTGATTTCAATTGATAATTATTATTAATATATAATCAAAAAAACAAAAACATAAAAAATAAAATAAAAATATAAAATAAAAGTGGTGGAGTAAGGTGTTAAATTTTATTAGTAGTGAGTAAAAGTTGAATGAGTATTGAATTATAAGATAGAAGAGAGAAAAGACAATGTAGAGTGTAAAAAATGAGTGTTGAATAATTTTGTCATTGTAGATAGTGTTAGAGTATTGAAGTGTTGTTTGCAAAAAAATAATTATAAAATTTCAATAAAAAATATGAATGTGCCAACTCAAATACATTTAATACCAAATCAATAAAAAATTTGATTTAATGTCAAATTACTATAAATTAAACAAGAGTACAATTAGTGGATTTTAACCTTAATGAGAAGGTAAATTGTGGTTATTCCTGATAGTTTTATTTTTATAGATTTTATAATAGATAATAGATGAGTGTTTAATTATAATTTAAATTGAATAATGAGTGAGATTTAATTAAAAACAAAAAGTAGGGTTAATGCAAAAAGCAGCATAAAAGAGTGTTATTGTGGAACACGATTCTTAAAGAGGCTTGCTCTGCGAAACCCTAACCCTAATAACGGGAAGAGGGAGCGAGAGATGGCAGTGCGGTTAAGGAATAGTAACAGGAATGACTACAAGTTACTCCGATTACGAGATGCTCATTCTTGTATCAATCAGAGAGTCAACATCATTGCCATTGTTCTCGAGTTTGGTCTCCCCAGAACAACTAGAGGCACTGGTAATTTTCATCTTTTTCAATTTTCCTGAGTTTCACACTGGCTGTGATGATAAAAAGGCCGGTCTTACGGCTGCCATTTACTTCTATGGTAGTAGACTGATTAATGCTTTCTGAAGGTGTTTTCTGAGCCAGTTTCATTCCTTGTCTTTATGATTTAGGTCAAAACATATGTTTTTTTTATTATTTTGGTGTTGCTTGAATAATGTCTGCAGATCGGTGTTGTACACTAAGATTGATTGATGAAACGCATCACCAAACCGGTATGTCGGTTAATATTTTTACCCAAAATGCTGAAAGCCTTCCCCATGTTACTGCTGCCGGAGATATAATTCAGCTTTCTAATGTTACGGTACAACTCTTTCTGTTGAACTATTTAGGCTTACTATGCATCCCTTAAAAAAACATGTATTAGATGATTTTAAAAAATTAACTTATGGCTTTTCCTGTCTTTCACAGTTAAAGACACATCTTAAGGAAGTAAATGCTGTTTTCTACAAAAACTCTTCCTCTTTTGCCTTATACAAAGGGAAAGGTGATGATCATGATTTTGTCCCTTATCAAGTTTATTCTAAAGTTTTCCTCAGAGACGACGACAAAATGCGCATAAACATTCTTCGAAAATGGTTGGTCAATTTTCAGATGCCTGCAGGTATTGTAGGATTTTAGCTTTTTATGTAATTTGCATTCTCTTTCTTTGATTTCTGTTTTCTAAAATCTGTGTCATAATTAATTCTCTTGTCAAAGCAACCAGAAACGAGTACACTGCAGAAGGTGAATTTGAGAGTCACCTTTTCTCTCTTGACAAGAAATCAATCTATGCCTAGCCAACTCTACTAACTGTACCCCTTTTATGTATAGCAGATGGTTTCAATTTAGTTAGTTCCCCTCTCCTATCTAGTACGAACCTACTGTGACCCCTCACATAGACTCTCACTATTACCGAGTTCTATCAGAATCCTTGATCAGAATAAGGAATCAGGGTTTTTTTATAACTTTTATCATGCAATGGCGTTTAAGCCGCCTTGGTTGCTTCTGGTCGGAGTTAGTTGGTGTTTGCTAAAATCTAGATTTGATTGTCGCCTTAAGATTTTGAATTTGTTTAGCTCAACCAAGAATTACCTTACCTCTAAAAAAATCAGTATATGCTTGAGGAGTTTTGGCTTAAGGTTGTTTGTATTTATTTGATTTATTGGTGGCTTCTTCAAATTTTTTGATGTATATTCAAGGTATTTAAATGTTGTGTTGTGTAGATTCAAGTGATTTTCCTATGCTAAGAGAAATCAAAGAAGGTCACTTTAATTTGGCAGGCAAGGTAATTCTGTTGGAATTGGTTTTGATGTTTGTATTATGAGTTTTAAGACCCTTGGATAAATATTTAAGTAAAATATGTTAACTGTAGTTTTTACTAGTAGTTGTTTCCTTTCCAAGGTTCTGATCCTTCATGCCTTTTGTTGCATCTTAAGATACTTCATTGCTGGGAGGCTTTGAAAGATAATTGGTTTGTCTATGTTTGGGACGGTACAGATACCCCGCCAAATGCCATAACTTCAATGTGAGTTGATGTAAAATTACTTTTACATTGTCAGTTCAACTCCCCTGTGAATGCATGTAATACAGGGTTTGGATAAATCGTATTGAAAGTACATGGTTTGGATAAAATTGGATACTTTTCTAACACAAGTTATTAGACATAGGGGGATTTAATTGAGATTAAAGGTGTTTTCTTACCTCAGGAATTAGATTTGAAAAGAAATAGAAAATTTGGTAACAGTTCAGAAGATGAATTTGTGCTGATATGGCCGTGGATTTTGTACAGGAGTTTCTTTTTTACACGATATTGTGTAGATATGATTGCAAGGGCATCATCTATAACCATGCATCTTGAGATTCGAGTGTTTCTTTTTTAACTAAATCAGTTTTGACCCTGCTTGGTGGTGTAGTGTTTGTGAAGAGCGTATAAATTTATGTTTGCATCCACCAAAGGAATTTGATATGTTTGCTGATGAAATCCAGGCTTGAAGATGAAATCAATCATCCACTTCCATTACAATTGGAATCTCTGCCTTTGCCAAGAGACGTACTATGTACTCTGCCTACTGTTGGCTCCATCTTGAGGATTGCTTTTGAACTACCCATAGAGAAAAATCATCTCGATGTTCTTAAAAGTGGTAAATGGGCCCAGTTTATCAACATACATCTCAAAGTGTATGCAGGACTGTGGTATGGTGTTTTTACCGCACATTCAAAGCTTCGACATACACCAAATGAAGACCGTCTCATTATAGAATGCCAAAGGTGATTACCAAATCAGTGGAGTCATAATATATTGTTAGGATGGATTGGGTCAGTTAACCATTATATTTTCATTATGTTTGTGTTGAGCCAGGTTGTATGATGACCGCATATTGTTGAAATCAGGAAACATGCCTGTTGGCAGCATACCTCAGTCCATTGACAGCTTACCCGAGTCTTTATGTATTACAAGTAATAATTCATTCGTTACATTTTTACTAGGCTCTTATTAATGGCTCAAATTTTTGGTTTCCTTACGCGATACCCAACTATGTTTAACCCTTACAGAGGTTAATCACGACCGTGTGCGGCATCTTACTTTAATGGATGTACTAACTCATTCAGAGGTACGTTTTTTTCACTTTTAACACCAACTCTGCAATGATCAATGTTATGTGCCTTCTCAAAACATTATTGCTCTTTTGCTCAGTAATGTGTTTCATTTATTGAAGGTGACAGCTAAGTTTAAGTGTGTTGTTCGAGTGGTAGCAGCAACACCATACCAAGCTGAAAAGTTCTGCACGCCTGCTGGGAAGTATATGATGAGACTGACCCTAGAGGATCCAACAGCTAGAATCCATGCTTTTGTAGTTGATGAAGATGGGGTCAGAATAAATTTTAACTTCATCACATTTAGGATATTTGGCATCAATATTTTTCTCTGGATTTATTATTTATCGGTTAATTAGTCTATGTGGTTGATCCTTTTTCTGATGTTATATGCATGACAGGAGACTCTTTTTGATGGTTATCCCGGCTCTGCAAATGTAAAAAGTAAGTTGAACAGATTGCTTGGAGTAACTGAATGTGATGACAGTGTTGTGGCAAATGATAGGCCAAGAAATCCACCATGGGTGAGTGTTTGTATTAAATCATACTATGTCTTAAAAACTGATGTATGGGGAAGTAGAAACTTTAGAATATTTGACACCAAAATAGTGGATAGTCCAAAACAATGAAAACAAGATATGCTGATGTAGGACCCTTTTTGTCCAAAATAGTGGATAGGACCTTTTGCAAGACACAGTATCTTAGGATGTAAAATAGAACATGCATCTATGTCCAGGAGAGGTAGGATGTGTATGTAACATGCACAAACTCTCTAATGCTTTTTGTCAAGGCCATTTTGAATGTAAATGAATCATTTGTAAATTGTTCAGTATTTCTTGGATCATTGTACTTGACTTGATGTATATTTTTTTGATGTGTACTTTAGGTAATGATTACGGTATGAAACTGAACTAGAGATTAATGAGTATGGCCAGTTTGGTTCTTCTAGTTCAGTTTGATTTTTTACAGTTTGATTCTGGTTTGTGAACTGTTCTGTAAAATTTAGGTTCAGTTTGTGAACTCTTAAAATATTTTCAGCAGTCCGGCTTGGATTGGCAATTATTTTGAACAGTCCTAGTGCCACTGCAATGATGGCCTTGCGAAGATCCAAAAGATGAAATTTAAAACTTGATTATTTTTATTAGAAAAGTAAAATTATTTAAATACTAATCCAAGAGCAAGTAATATTTATTAAAAGTTCAAGCAAAAGCAAGATAGTTTATGGTGTACTATTTCGCTGTAAAGTTCTTCAAATAAACCCACACAGACAAACTTGCTCAACAGTGAATGCATCTTAACTTGAATGGTTTAGTTTTTATCTCCTGGGTTAAGTGATCAAGTGTAGAAACATGTTCCTACATTAGGGAAAATGTTGTGACATATTCACATACGAAAAAATACTAGTTATGATAAAGAAGTGTAAACCGTTCGATTAGGCTAGGTAACTAGGTAATTGAGACAGCGTATCATATTGTTATTACTGTAAACTGTCAGCATGGTTCATCCGAACCTACAGGTTTGTAAGAGCCAGTTGGCATGCATGTCAGCTCTAGAGCTTTGTCATAATAGCTCTTGGCTAGAAGACGGTTGGGAAGTCCTTGGCCATGTTCATGCATGTATCCAAGATTGAACATGGCCTATGCATTAGATTGCGAGTTGGCATGCATGTCAGCCTCAACAGCGTCATAATCCCTGGCAGTTCCCTGAAATAAGACAAGGAGAAACACAAGAAAATGAAGTGAAGTTGTAGGTAAAGAGAGCACCATGGCTTAAGTTTAATGTTCAAAATCCACATATGCTTAATTCGTTCCAAAATCACATACCTGGCCATAGTCACATGCACCTCCTATTAGTGAAGCACTATGGTGAAACTAACATGATAAACAACACCAAGGCCTTTTTGTTGTTTTGGGTGATCAATTTGGGAATTTTTTAATGCACTTTATGGATTATTAGGACACCTCGTAAAAATACAATAACATTCCGATTTCGGAAATGCATCTTTGGACGCACCTCAAGTACACTAAATTCATGCGTAAATGAATTACACATTCGTTTTGTAAAAAATATAATCCGGAAATATACTTCCGGAATTAATTCGGAAATGTATTTTTCACATTCCACCAATTCCTCTCCTTTCTACTTTCTCCTACTATTACTTTTTTTATTTTTATATTCAATTAGAAAATGAAAAGAATCATTTTTCAATCGGGGATTTAAGGCTAGTAGATGAAGTTTAGAAAATAATACCGTTCAAAATTAATAATTATGTTAAATAGAAACATCATTGCTTCTGTCATACAAAGTCATACACTTTCTCCTTCTATTTCTTCCAACGCCGAGGTTAGTAAAGTTATAGAGATGTAGTTTTAGAGTGAAAACTGAGATTATACACGAAATTGGCGTGTGTATGAGTGTGTATGACTTATATATGGTTTATGGTTAAAACAATTGTCATTTAACCTGACACATGATACAAATCGCCATCCGATTAGATTTGACAATAGATGATACATTAATATCTCAGATCAAGTGCTCTACCCTCAGTCGAGGTCATAATGGTTCCTTTATACGTTGCGTCAATGTTCTGAATTGGGATTTATGATTGGGCCTTCGTGTATGAGCTTCGCGATTGACCAAAAATAATTACCCCCGAGTCTTTGTTGGTACTTGGTGAAACGATGACGGTATAATTCAGGCCACACTCGACTATCTTTTTGGCTTCCTTGGTAGTCCTCCGGTTCGTGAAAGTGGGAAAGTATGGGGAGTTTTAGAAGGTGGTCTTAGGAACGTGCACATTAAATACATGTTTTTGTAATTGAAAAGTTTCACGAGTAGAACTCGACACGTGGCTCTAGGTATGACAGAGAAAGTGACATTTTTAAAGTACTCGAGTGCTCGAGTAAATCGAGGTTCAATTAGGACCGTTGATAGCATGAGTGGACTTCCCTATGTCTTTTAATATTGATCATAAGTTAGTCAATAAAAAAATATGGAGATTCGAGGGTGAAATTTCCCCTATTTCCACCGCCAATTGTGAGTTTTTGGGATTTTTCGTTTCTCTTCCTCCTTTGATTTCATGTTCTTGCACATGATTTTGTGCTAGTTATTATTCCGATAGCTTTTGTGGCGTCTTGGTAGTGTGATTCGAGCGTGCATTGCAGTCACCTTCTTCTAAAGGTAATAAATCAGTATATCTTTTTTTCCCGTATAATTGCTTATCATTTTCTAGGGTTTCTGGGAAGATAGTTATGGAAGAATCAAAAGGAAAAGTGAATGCGTAAAATGGAGACGTGGTAGGTGGTCTTGATCTAAGGGATCTAAGAGAGATAATTATGGTGTAAGCGATGTTAATGGTACCAAATCCAAGATTGGAAAGAAGGATAAACCTTTATACAATCATTGTGGTATCATTTATCATATCAAACACAAATGCTTCAAACTTCAAAATTACCCGCCAGGTTATAGAAAGAGAAAATTAATATTAATCAACAATCTATTTATAATGTTCACATGTTCAACACTGTTGATGACCATCTACTGAATACCAAACAATAACAATAACTCATTGATTACATTAAGGGTCAGATGGCTTGCCAATTCACTCTTGGATCCTCTACTACTTAAGGTGACACAATTGGTACTTCCTCACATCACAATGGGCATCTTTAACTACTACTTGAATAGTTGACTAAAGAGCCATATCTCATATAGTTAATTCCTTACATATGTTTATATCATATAAGTCTCTTTACAATAAATTTGTGACCTTACCTAATAAGTCCAAAATATTAGTTTCTACAATAGGCTCAGTTTCTTTAAATTCTACATTGGTTTTGTATAATATTCTATACATTCATAATTTTATAATTAATATTTTGTCTGTTGGAAAATTGTTACAACATTCCCTTTTGTTTATCATGTTAACTAATTACGAGTTCATGATTCAGGACACTCAGAAGGGGGATGTGATTGGCATGGGTGGATTTTCTCATGACCTTTACTTCCTCAACACTGATCCCAAGTCTTCATATGTTAAACTTTGTTTACATTCCAATAAGATTACCTTTGATGTACCTAATTGTAATTATGTTAATACCATTTTTATTTCTACTAGGCAAATGCTAGGCTAGGACATTTATTAAACCAAGTATTGAAAATTATTCATAATAAAATCCTAGATTTGTTTCCATTGAATTTTTCATCTAGTGAGCATAATGGTCGACATCTGACATCATCGTTCATCTGTGGGATCAAAGACTTCAAATGGAATATACAAATTCTTTGTAAATAATCACTTAGTATCAAAGCTATAAAGAAATACAGAAAAAACAAATAGGGTTTTTCCTTTAGTGTCCATAATATAGTAAGTATTACAAACTTCTCTTTTCTTAGATATCTATTTTTCTGATCCCAAGATCTCATCTTTCTTGTCGGGTGCCTCTGTGCATATTTCTTATTCTTTGTTTGAAGATGATCTTTTCATGATTCTCACAAGGTTGATGTTTATCTCCTCTTCTTTGTTTGAAGAAACTTCTTTATCTTCTTTGTCGTTCTTTGAACAAGAGGATCCTTCGTATTTTGTTGATATTTCAACTATTGAGTATTGTCTTTTGAAGAATTAAACTGGGTTTGTATGATAGGAGTAAGATGAGAACGGTGATATTTGATTTATCTTGTTCATCTTCTTTATGATTTCCTTCTTCCCTGAAATTTATGAAAGCTTTCTATAGAATTAAGAGTTGGATTGATTTTCCAAATTTTAATTGTTACTTGGTAAAACGATGACCGTATCATTCAGGTCGCACTCAACTATATTTTTGGGTTCCTTGGTAGTCCTTCGGTTTGTGAAAGTGGGTAAGTATGGTGAGTTTTAGTAGGCGGTCTTAGGAACGTGCACATTAAATGCATGTTTTTGTAATTGAAAAGTTTCGTGAGACGAACTCGACATGTGGCTCTAGGTATGACAGAGAAAGTGACATTTTTAAAGTACTTGTGTGTTCGAGTAAATCGAGGTTCAATTAGGACCGTTGATAGCATGAGTTAAATTCCCTATCTTTTAATATTGATCATAAGTTAGTCATTCAAGAAATATATGGAGATTCGACGGTGAAATTTCCCCTATTTTCACCTTCGCCAATTGGGAGTTTTTGGGATTTTTCGTTTCTCTTCCTCCTTTGATTTCCAGTTCTTGCACATAATTTTCTACTAATTACTATTCCGATAGCTTTTGTGGCGTCTTGGTAGTGTGATTCGAGCGTGCAGTAGAGTCACCTTCTTCTATAGGTAACAAATCAATATATCCTTTTTTTCCTATACTTGCTTATCATTTTCTCGGGTTTCTGGTAAGATAGTTATGGAAGAATCAAAAGGAAAAATGAATGCGTAAAATGGAGATGTGGCAGGTGGTCTTGATCTAAGGGAGATAATTATGGTGTAAGCGATATTAATGGTACCAAATCCAAGATTGGAAAGAAGGATAGAAATTTATACCATCATTGTGGTGTCATTTATCATATCAAACGCAAATGCTTCAAACTTTAAAATTATCCGCCAGGTTATAGAAAGAGAAAACTTAATGTTAATCAACAATCTATTAATGATGTTCACATGTACAACACTACTGATG